AATATAACGTGTACGCCACCTATTCAAACTTGAAGTGCCCTTCTATTAAAAAAATGTGGACCCACACCGTCTCGATTTTAAAACGGACCACAGCCTCCTTGGCCTCCTACTCAGAGCGACCGGTCCTCCTCAAGCAACAACTGGTATGATGAGCGACGAAAATATTAATTAACTTACCTCGAGGGCACGGGGGCACGACATGTAGTTTGTATGTGCGTGAGTGATAAACAAGGTTTCATTGTCCAAGTTCAAAAGCAGGATGGGGAGAGAGAGAGAGAGAGAGAGAGAGAGAGAGAGAGAGAGAGAGAGAGAGAGAGAGAGAGAGCTGTCATTAAAGACCAATGCATGTTTGCATGCGCGCAAGAGTGTGTGTGTGTGTGTGTGTGTGTGTGTGATAGATAGATAGATAGATAGATAGATATATTCGCAACCCTAAGGTTGCGGTATAATGGGCTTCCGCGTACGTGTCAAGGTATCGCATTTTTGGCTGCGGGCGACCAGAACACAAAGTGGGTTCTTAGGGGGCAAAAAAATATGGGCGGCAAAAAAATATGGGGGACCGGTCCTTGGCAAAATTGCGAAGGAAGTGGGGGGGGGTGGACCAGTCCTTCGGTGGAAGTGGACCCCAAAAATAAGTGAGGGCATGTGAACTTCAAAAGGGCCCTCGAGCCCAGGCGTTGATGCCCGTCTTCTCAAAACAGGGAGGTTAAGTGAAACGAAACAGACGTCTTGCAAGAGGCAACTTCGACGATTTTATGTGCTCGGAGGAACCTGCAAAAACATCTGAAAATTTGAAAATCCATAGATGAGGTCATGTTCTTTCCAGGAAAAAAATTAGAACATTTTCAAAAGATCATTTAGACTACAAAATAATTGTTGAACCGATTCGGCCTATTTTCCATTTTTGCCACTCAGCCATGTGTGGGCCAACTGAAAAAGCACTCCAAACTCAGTGAGTTTTCGCGCTCAGAAAAACAAGTGAAAAAACCTGAAAATTAGAGTACTCATAGATTTTGTTGTGATCTTTCCAGGAAAAACGCTCAATAAATTAAAAAAAATAATTTCAACTGTGAAATAGATCGCGACTGCAATTTGACCCACATTTCAATTTCTCATTCAACCTCTCTCTCTCTCTCTCTGTCTGTCTGTGTCTCGCTCAATCATATCAACAAATGGAACAAAACTCTCTCTCTTTCTCTCTCGTTCGGGCGTTCGGGGTCCCGTTCGGGGGCCGAACACCTCTAGGTTTGACCCCCGCCAAAAAATGTTTCGGGGCCTAAAAATAAGTTTTGTTTTTTGGAGTTTTTTTTGTGACTTCTCTATGATGTAACCTACACGCTCATAAATTTTGAAGTCATTCTGCTAAGCCAAAAAAACATAAAAAATCGTCAAAGATGGGGGTGTCAAAACTTGATCGCCCACTCACTATTTTTTTTTTTTTTTTCACTTTTAACTTTTTGTTTTCACTTTATTTCGGGCCTTAAAAATTTTATTATTTTTTGAAAATTTTTAATGAGGTGTTGTTTATGTAAAATACATATCTGTAAATTTTCAGGGCATTTGTCGATGCCAAAAAATAATTAAAAATCGGTAAAGGTGGCGGTGTCGAAAAGGTGCTGGCACACTCACTCATTTTAATTCACTTTTTGTTTTTTCTTATTTTTATCATAGTGTTTTTTTCTGTATTTGATTTTTAATTCAAATTTGGTAACGAATTTGGACGTAGTGCCCAAGCAAATGTTGTTTAGTTTATTTGTCTCTATAACATATGTTTTTTGTCGGATCTTTTTGAAAACGTTTTTGTTTTTGTATTTTTTTTTTTGGTCCGCGTTCGGCCCGAACAGCCGAACGCCTTCCGAAGGGGTCTCGTACGTTCGGGCATTCGGCCTGTCCTGAACGCCGGTAACCCTGTATATATATATATATATATATATATATAGATACATATATATATATACATATCAGCCTCTTGATAAGTCGGTGAAACTCCGACGAAACAGTTTGTCACAGCCCCTCGTTTGTTGTCCTCTTCTCTCTCTCTGCCTACGGTTTACTGGGCAGTTCTGTTTTTGACGATATATA